ACTACACAACCACAGCTGGAGATCCGTGACTTCGGTTGTGAAGCCGGACGAGTTGCATATTTCCGGGTCAGAACCTGACTTCTGGGACCGCAGCAACCCCGTCGAAGTCATCGTCTCACACCGCGTCGGATGTAACGGCGTAGGGCGATGCGATTGCGCATCTCGTGGTACCCGCGATACCATCGGCGTCCCGTTCCCAGCTGCTAGCTGGGCCAATACCTTTATCAAACTGGCGCCGTACGTGACCGCGGAACGGGAGCGTCGAGAACGTCGAGGGCGCGAGCAGGATTCAAATAAAGAACCCCGGCCTTCTCGAGCAGAGCGGGAAAACGCAAGGATGAAGAAGGATGACAGCGCGTCAGAGAAGGACGGCGCCAAGATGCCGACTCCTAAAGAACTCTTGTCCCAGGTGGCTATGTATCAAGAGATCTGGTCTACACCTAATGACGGCCCCAGTAGCGGTAGTGAGGGTGGGAAGCGCGGATGGACGCGGCGTGCAGTCGTACTATGGACTTTCGCCCCCGTGCGCGACCATACGGATGAGAAGGGAAAGACAACTACTATTGCCGCCGGTACCAATTGGCGATTCCTAACCAAGGTTGACCCGACCTCGGAATACCACCAGCAGCGTGCATACATCACGAATTCCTCCTCCATCGCTCGCGACAACGTCATGTCGCCTAATCCTGGCTACCAAGCCCACCTCAACGCGTCTATGCACGAGAACCTGAGCGCAGCATATGATACTGCCCCCGTTCTGCCGTCAAATACACTGCCGAGCCAGCATCATCAACACATCCAACACGCTACACATCATCACAGTCATCACCATAATCATAATCATAATCATATACCCCCTGGCCTAGATCTCCTAGAAGGCTTCGACAACGGCCTTGTCACACCTCCACCCACAGCGTCATTAACGGGTGGATATCCGCATAACTTCGATGATAGCGGTAGTGTAGACTCAGCGCTGCATCATCAGTTGAGCTACATATCCGACGGCACAAGCGGTGTCGGTACCAGCACTATCCCTGCTGAAATAGCCGGTGGTAGCAGCCACAACGGCAGCACTATCGGCACAGATCCTTTCCTGTCCGGCCTCGGTGTGCCAGTATCCTCTTATGATGACAACTGGGCAGTTCCAGCACAAAGCAGCGGTCTGAACCTCGATACCACCGGCTGGGGCGTCGGCGTCAGCTGGGCTGATCCCACAGGCGGCCTCACCAGCGCAACCACAAGCGCATCAGCAGGCGAGCCACTATGGGCTAGCTCTCTCCCCGGTGCCGTCAGCGGACATAACTCACGCGACACGAGCTTCAGCGGCGCCAGCACCTCGCACTGGGCCGAGGACAAAGAAGCCTCCCTATGGGCGAGCAAGACAGAACATCCTCATTCTCATTCTCATTCTCATCAGTACACCACTACGCAACAGCAGCAAGACCCGTGGGCGACGTGGCAGCCTACGGGCGCGGAGCAATCCGCTTGGAACATGGATGCGCAGGACTTCGGGCTGGATCTAGGGGCTACGAGTAGTAGCTCTGGGCTCGCACATGCACATACGCATACGCATGTGCGGTCGCACCCGCAGGTCGCTGGGCGTAAGCGCTCGCGCGCGGATAGCGTGGATGCCGGCGCGGATGGCAGCGATACTGTGTACCCTGTGCACTCGATGCGCAAGTTGTCGCATCCGACTGCGCTCCCCGGTAGTCGTGGTCAGGGCCACGGTCAGACGGGGCAAAACGCGCCTACGGCTGTAATGGATGACGGGCAGGGGTTCTTGTAGAGCAGTGGTATTTTATCATTTATCCTTTTTTTTCATTAGACTGTTGATCTACCATCTACACTATTGTCTACAGTTTCCGGCGTCAGCCAGCTGGTCATGTTATGGAGTTTAAACTTGGTTGGGGATATCGAGTTCATCATGTACTTGTAATATATACTCGAAGGCGTTCTACATGGGTTTCTCTCTCGGCCTTTAATCAAGCGCCGGTTGCTTATTGGGGGGGGGATTAGGATACGGGATGGGACGGCGGCAAAGGTTTTATGTCTAATTAGTATTTCCTCGTGGACCTGCGTCTGTATCATATCAAATTCATATTTATGAAGTTCACATACTTGCTTACTGTTGCTTACTCTTGCTTACAAGCATACATACATATAATATCTATTGCTCGAAGAATGCCCAGTTATTGTAATATCATTAGGCTGAGATGGACGGTTTGTCTTCCCTTAATACTCTTATCACGACGCCATGGTACCACAACATAGGACAACTCCGGAGTAGCAAGGTTTCACGGCGCAAGACCTCGAATCTAACAAGAGCAGAGCTAAATAGTTAAATACCCGAACCCGAGCGGCATTCTAGAAATAACGGCCCCAAAGAGATCTCGTATTTCAAGAACGAACACTTAACAGGGGAACGTTTCGATGTCTTGGCAAGCGATAACTCTCGATTGGGAATCAGTTTCCCTACGATGCTACCGCGCGGATCGGCAGCAGGGAACCCCCCTTGTTCTTATAGCTAAAAATGGGCGAATAGATGATCGGCTTGACTAGCAAGGATATTGTGTGGCAATTAAACAACGATAACTGAACGATTGTGAAACAGTGGTGGTCTAGAAGTACAAAGAAATTTCTCAAGAGCTGGTTGTCGGCTTCGACTGCTTGACTGCGCGGTGATTGTTCTGTCCGCCACGCTTAGGAGACCGAAAGTCTGGCCCAATACTTCTCATGAACGGGGGTAGTACGAGAACGGGTATTACCGTTGAGATTAATGCGTTGAGAAGGCGAGATTTGCAAGTTTCCTAGCAGCATGAAATCTAATAGCGCTCTCTCGTATGCCTGGTCCCGAAGGCGGCAAAGAGTCCATTTAATATCTTAGCCTCTAGGCGCTTTTTAATATGAAGAAGCAATAACTGATTTTAAGCTTATCTTAGCCGAAAAATAATATCGGTATCAGAATTTGTCTTATGCGGCGCTTAACAGTTGCACAAACGGGATGATCGAGTGGGTATTCCCTCTTTCGACGATCATTCCGGCATGGGTATCTCCTGTAATTTTCGAAGCACGGCGCGTAACAACGGGAACACGAGACGGGCCTCGAAAACAATTACAGAGGTTTACGAGTCATCAGTAGGTAAAATATGAGGACTGCTCAAAAGCCTTTTGCCGATGCGGCGGCAAAGCAGCCAACCAAGTCGACCAAGACAGAGAGGGTCGCGACGTTCATGATACCGGAAGCCACCGTCATTTCGCGTGGCCTCGAGCGACGGTCTCTCAAATAATATGAAGGTAAGGCATTTTAGCTAGGCCACAGAGATAGGCCAGGAAAAGAGAAACAAGAAACGGCTGGCTTGCCGCCACAGCTTGGCAGATTTGTAGCCTCTCGATGCGATGGAAGTTCGTCGCGAACTGGGGTGGGCATCGGCACTTGATTGGTCACGATGCAAAGAATTAAGAAGAATGGAACGACGAGACGGAAGATTATCCACAGATTTGTCTACAGATTAATCCACTAATGTGAATAATGTGGGGAAATCTGAACCAAAAGCGCTACGAGATGAGGTAATTCCACATTAGATACATTAGAACCTTGTATGTCACTTTTATGAGTTGCAGCAGCAAAAAGATACATCTGTTTATCGTTATCGGCTCAGGTACCTGCATACACTAAACCCTAATCAGATAGATCCCGCCATGCTGTGTCACGTACCTGATTACATAAGGTTAAGATATACCCCTGCCCCGTCCAACCCCAAAACCCAACCTTACCATCCACATGTTTATATGTGAGGTACATACCTAACCTAGTCGAATAGTTGCATTATAAGGTGAAGGTCTAGAAAAAATACGTATCCCATCCACAGGCGCGCATGAACCCTTATCCCAGACAGAACAGCCTCTACGAATAATGTTGACCTATCGTGTATCCCGCGCTATTCTAGTAGATACAGACAAAACGCTCTACGGTCCCAACCTAGCACGAGAACTTGGCCGTCATCATGAGGCCGGGACTCTAACATTCAAGATGAGGCTAGAGAAGTACGCCGTAGCTTTATATGATTATTTCAGCCGCTGTTCTGTTGCAGAGAATTAAAGTCCCGTGTTCTGTTCTTGCATGAAACTTGCATGATACTTTGTACGAGTCCATACTGGATTTCTTTTATTTCTCCCGATGTCGAGTAAACCTCCTCCAAGTACCTCAGATTTAGGTCATCAGGTATAATCTTCTACAGTTGTCCAGATCGTTTGCACCTTATCTTACAGGTACATAGATTTGTGTGTACGGGACCTCCCGTTTCTAAGTACCCGGTTGTTAAGTCGTTTGGAATCGACGGGAGTCAACGGAGAACTCACACCTTATCTATCAAAAATTAGCCCATGGACTCGGTGAACAGTTCATCTGTCAGCTTTAGCACTTGGTCGTTGTGGTGAATTCTCATTCGCAATCACTTGCGTTGTTCACCTTGCACCATACACTAAACTTCTCATCCCGCATCACGCATCATCCGACCTTCACACCTCACCAACTTTACAACAACCAGTCACGACCACTTTGTCTATAACAATCCCAGAAGAACAATCCGCCTTGTCTCTTTATTATTTATTGTTCGACAACGAGGCCTATTGTTCCTTTCCTTGAGTTTTATTGTTCTCTCCCCTCACAAAGGATATAATTCTGCCTATTTCCCCCAATTACCGGGGCAACTCATCTACATATACTACGCCGCGTCGTACTCGTTCTTCTTTTCTTCTTCGCGCAAGTCGCATAACACCTTTCTTCTTTCTATCTTCGAGAACAAACTATACCATACTATTTACACCTTCCTTGTTCATCGAACAATCCCTTTCAACCTCTAGACATAGAGGGACATATCTAAGACACCTTTTCTCCCCTCGAGAGCCTACTTCTAGTCTCATCTTTTCTCGCAGGCGAGACAATCAAGTCAAACATCAGATAACAAAAATTACGTAAAACTGTCTTAACTTACTTCGAGATGCCGCTCTACAGCATTTCTAAAGCGATTTCGCTTACACTTCTCGCGGCCTCGGCCGTTGTTGATGCCCACTCCTGGGTCGAACAGGTCCGCAAGATCGACTCTACTGGTGCCTTCACAGACCCCGTAGGCTACCCCTTCGCATTCATGAACCGTTCAGCTCTCGGCTTCATCGACGAAAAAGTCCAGAACAAGATCTTAGATACTAAGCCTAATCCTCCCGTGTGTAAACCCAAGGCCGGTGCTTATGACCATCTGGACCGACTCACCGCAGCTCCTGGAGATTATATCGCCCTGCTATACCAGGAGAATGGGCACGTCACCCAGCCTAACATTACACCACGTCCCTACCGTGATGGACTCGTCAGCGTCTACGGTACCCTCCACCACGAGGACTCGGATGGTATCAATGATGTTCTGGGCTCGTGGACTGCCGATGGCAAGGGCGGTAACGGCAAAGGTAAACTTCTAGGAACCCATTTCTACGATGATGGTCAATGTTACCAGAATGCTGGTCACAACTTCGCTATCCCCATCTACGCCACACGCTACAAGGAGCATGGCCTAGAAGAGTTGTACTGCCAGACCGACTTCCAACTTCCAGAGGATCTCCCTAACGAGGGGACCTACACGGTCATGTGGGTTTGGGACTGGCCGCTCATCACGTCCGACACTACGAACGTCACCGAGATCTATACTTCGTGTGCCGAGATCCAACTTGAAGCCCCCAAGGGTGGTAAGAACGCCCAGGTTAAGTTCTCAGAGAGCAATCCCATCAGCAAGGCGGCCATCAAGTCCCAGATTAAGATGCAGTTCGAGGCCACCGGTTTGGGGATCGGAACCAACCCCCCAGCTGCACCTACCGAGACCCCAGCTACCTCTGCAGACAACAGCAGCCAAACCTCAGAGCCTGTAACTTCGGTAGAAACCTCCACGTCGAAGAAGCATCATGGTGGAGTCAAGACCGTTACCGTCACTGCCGATGCGCAGACGACGACCAAGTGGCAAACAGTCACCGTTGGCGGTGGTGCTAGAACCACCACCGGACGGTCTGAGTCATATGCAACCATCAATCCTACCCCGACTCAGAACATCTCTACCTCAGCAAAGCAAGCCGCGCCTACTTCCGTTGTGCCCGTTACCTCGATCTCCAAGTTCCTGAAGGCACGGGCAACAGGACAGGCGCGACGAAACAGCACCTACGCATGAATGAGAAGACCTCAATCATCCGAGGACCGTGTAACCGGTAGTTTTATTCCCTTCATGATACATATCCCTTTATTCGGCATTTTCTATTAGGGTTTCTTCGCTTGCACATATTTTCCATATTTTCTTCTGTTCATACACACATGCACCTAACGTCTGCGCCTGGCCGCGCCTTACGACATGACCGCATACGAGAACACGATACCTTTTTTTTAGTCATAAAATGGAAAGAGGAGAATGGCATCGCATCACTCGTTCGGAAAGCATAGCATTGGCGGTCGTTACTCGGAACGGAGGCGGGGGCATTTGTATTACCGGATCAACTCATGAAGCAGTGGGGGATACGGCACATGGCAGATAGCTTATCGCCAGGGGAATGGCAACTATCCTAGGGTTAGGATGGAAAATACCCGAAAGTCGGCTCTTAGGTTAGGTCGGATGGTCGGACAGGAAGGCGTTTAAGGACAAGGAGGGATACGGGGGGGAATGTTACTGTAAGGGAAGGGGAGGGCTTATACAAAATGCATGCATGGAACACGGATCGATCGCATTTTCATGGAATAGGAGTCATTTCATTCGTGTATTACGACAGTAGCTAGATTTATTGCAATGAATTCAGCCGGTCGTTAATATCCATTGGCTTTAGTGAGACCTCGTGATATATCGTAGACTAATTCCCGAGAGTACCAGACCCCTGAGAGATAATGCGGTAGTCCGTCGAGCTCGATGGTAGTTGAAAAGTAAAACATGAGGCTTGACTTATAAATAAATAACCTCGCCTTTTATCCTTCCTGACTTATCAGATCTCTCGTGCCTGTCTTAGATCTCGCAGCAAGCTGAATGCAGCCCGTATGCAGGTCATCTCTTGGCAATGTACCGCATCTATGTACATGCTTTCATCCATATAAAACACAGAAGAAGCGAACCAATCACACGTAATATGAATCCGTCTTCGCCACACAGTCGTATCCTCTAAAACATCCATCACGCAACCCAGCCGTCCCCGGCACAAGTCATCCAGTTCACACCGACGAGACTTAGCCCGTGCTTCTCCGCAAATTCGGCAGGCTTAAAGGAGCGCCGTTGGACGAACTCCTCACCGCCGACGTCCTCTTTTGCCAGGGACAAACCTACTGGTTCCCGGTAGAGGAGGAAGAGGTACCGGTGAGGCTTGGAGCTTTTCGAAAAGGTCAATATAATAACCTCTTTGTTTCATATCTACGAGCGGAAGGGGAGGATACCTGTTATACTAGATATATAGATAGATAGATAAATGAATAAATAAATAGAACAACCACTTACTCATCCTTTGGCCCCGGCCCAAGATACTCTGTCAATATCTTACCCTCTCCATCCTTACCCGCAGGCCCTAACCCACTCACAACATAGTGTCGCCAAAAAGCAAACTTAGGATCATCCGGAGTTGGCGCATCGGGGTCCGTCAAGATGAATAGATACGAAGCATCTCCCTGGATATTTACATCTGCCTCAGGGGAGAATGAGATCCGCGGCGCCTGTTTGCACTCTCCAGCACGGAAGAAGGTCCCCAGATCAACCGACTTGTCGCCAAATGAGATACCGAGTTGTGTCGTCGGTGCAAAGGCCGCCGGGATCAGCGCCGATGCGGGGCCCGGGACTAGGTTGGCATGGGCAAGAGAGGATGCTAGGTTGGTGGCGTGGGTGGTGAGTGACATGTTGTAGTAAGTTTCTGGACTATAGTAAAACAACAAAAAGAAAAAAGTAGTTTATTCCAAAGTCTATAGATATTGTAAAGCTCTCGAGACGAACATGACTATCCCGATGCTAGGTAGTATCTCCTCCGTTGTTTCTCTCTGCTCCAGCTCCACTCCACTGGTGAGGATGGGAGAACGCTTAGTGGTGGAATAAATACGATACAAATCTTGGCGAGACTTACTGATGTGGTATAGTTTTGAATAATAGCTGTATATACCTACTCCAAGAATGCTCCTATTCATATGTCATATCGGACGATTGCATGCAGACTGCACTTTACAACACCGAGGGAATTAAAGGGGTCCTTCGTAGGATGAGTCGCACTCTGATAGTGCTTGTGGTTGATTTGTATTATCTCTTCGATATACGAGCTCCCTACTACAACAATATAATAATAATTCGAAATAACTCTTGCTTACACTTCTACATTTGACAGCTTGAATCATTCATTGTATAGGTAGGTATGCCTTTATTTTGGCTCCGGTATAGAAATAGGGCTTCGCTATGTATTAGTAGAGGCTAACAATGCAACTTAGAAAAAGTTTCAATAAACTATTAGCATTAAAGCTGACCGCTCTCGAGCTCTAGTTCGAGCATGACCATATTAAGGATCTTCATGCCCTTTCTTACCACGGTCTAGTCCCAACACTGCTGAGGGTTTCGCCTCTATCGCTTCTCTCACTCTCATCCTTTAGAGTAATTCGGTCTACTCGAAGCAACTACTGTCTGTGTGCCAGATGGAAGCTAATTCGGGCCAAAGACACCGGAAGAGGCAGATTGTAGAGCTGTTGAGAGGGTGATGCATTGTCTTACCTAAGGGCCAAACGGACAAAGCCCTTATTTCTATCCTCGAACGGAAGAACTGTGCCACATTTTCTTTTTATTCGCTTAATGACCATAAATCATAAAACGACTACGCCGTGAATATCAAATTCTAGTTCACTCCCCGAATCAGTCAGATCGCCATATATAACCTCGCATGCGCCAGCAAGCGGTACATCCATGACGGCATCCGTTCCTTCGTTCCATATATTCTTCCAGTCTAGCTGCCTGGCTCTCTCCTCTGTAATGGGCTTCCTGGGTTCGTTCGGCCGTATTCTGCCTTTGTGGTCGATGGTGGCGATCTTAGCTGCCTCATCGACGATAGTCTCTAGCGAAGTCATAGGAAGAGTGAGGATCTCCGTGTTGTATGCCGCGAGCGCAACGTAGATGTAGACTATAAGCATGACCAGGAACGATGGAATAGCCAATGCCCACCACCGGTTAGGATAGTAGTAGATGCCTAAGGCATGCAAGAACGGAGATGGCAGGTATGCCCATAGCAGATAGATGAGAAAAGTCAGAGACGAGAAGAGGTATAGGACGAAGCCGTAGTACTCGTATGTGGGTACCTTCGGGGATGCACGCGGCACCGGCTCGAGGTCGTCATCTGAGGCATCGGGAGTGGTAGGTCGTGATGGACGGAGTAGCGATGTTAAGGACGGAGACGGAGGTAATGGTGTTGGAGGTCGGCCGTAGAACGGAGGCGCGAAATAGTTCTGCTGTAATGGAGGCGGAGGTAAGGCCTCCTCGTCGCTAGAGGATGATGGATCGGATTGGTTGTCTGATAGGAAGTCTTCCTCGTCCGAAATAAGCGACATCTTAGCTTTTATATGTATTGTAGAACTCTCGATGAGTTCCTAGTTAAGATACTGGCTATCAAATCTCAGCTGGGGGAAGTTATGTATACAGCATCATATTTATAGGTACTCTCCGATTCGGTGTCGCAACCGTTGAATAGTATAACTTTATATTGCGCGTTGAAGATTTAAAGATCTACAAAGTTGAAGTTTAAGAAGTACCTAGGTACCGTTAGAGTGTTTAATCCAGGTACAAATTGGAGTGCGCGAAGGTACAAGCAGGAAGAGCGCGGTCCACTTTCTTTACGCTTGGAGGTACATATGCATGTAAGAGGAAGCAGGTACTATCCACCAGCCACAGGCGCGACCCCAGGGCTGGAGAAGCTTGGAGCTCTAACCTTCGACGCGAACCATCGAGTTCCCATCAATTCCCACTACAACCTTGTCGGAGGACCTATCAATTTGTTATACAATTTGATATAAAAATTGTTATAACCGATACAATGTCTTCTCAACAACCACTTCCAAACACACAGCAGCCGCTTGACGTCTACGGTGGAGGTAAGTATACCAGCCTCGTCTTCTCAGTTCGCGATTCTTTTCTTTACTACCTATACTGACACACTCCACCAGACGAAGTATCGGCCCTCGTCCTCGACGCCGGTTACTGCCATACACGAGCCGGTTTCGCAGGCGAAGATGTCCCTAAATCAGTCCTCCCTTCCTTTTACGGCAGCGTAAAATATGGCGATGGCGAAGCTGCCACGTACCGCGAAGTCTTTGGCGACGAGTGCTTGATCCCCCGCGCCGACATGGAGATAAAAAACTACATGTCGCGCAGCGAAAGCGTAGTCGAGGATTGGGATGCCGCAACTAAGATTTGGGAGCATACCCTCATCAAGCGTCTGCAACCAGATAAGCCAACGCCGCCTAGTAAGAATGGCCTTAACGACCCGGCTGAAGACGGAGAGGGCGACGTCGCTATGGAGGATATAGAGGAGCAGGAAAAGCCCCTGGCTGAGAATCCTCTGCTGATGACCGAGGCGCCGTGGAATTCGGGTAAGGCGCGAGAGAAGGCGATCGAAATTGCCATGGAGAACTGGGGTTGCCCTGCATTTTGGCTATCGAGAACGCCTGTATGCGCTGCGTTCGCCGCCGGCAAAGCCTCGGCGCTAGTTATCGATGTCGGTGGTGCGAACACGAGCGTTACAGCTATCCACGATGGCATGATCCTAAAGCGATCGATTCAGAAGTCTCCAATTGGAGGATTATGGTTGTCACAGCAAATCCGAACCATGTGGGAGAACAACGACCCCAAGATTGACGTCGTGCCGTATTTTATGATTGAAAATAAGACCCCCGTGGATGCGGGAGCACCCGCTCAGGCGAGGCTACGCAAATTCCCTTTTGAGATCCACCCGTCGTTCCGTACCTACGAGGAGGAGCGCCTCTTGACCGAATACAAGGAATCAGTCGTCGAAGTCTGGCGAGGCCCTGGTAGGTACTCTAATCCAGGTAACGAGGACCTCGTTAGGTCACAGCCCGGTCGCGTGTTTGAGATGCCGAACGGGTCGAATCAGATGTGGAGAGAGCAGCGATTCAGAGTTTCGGAGGGCATGTGGGACGAGACAGCAGCATTGCCAACGGCGGATGGTGTAGCGAAAGCCCAGACTATCCCAGAGCTGATCAAGGCTGCCATTAATGCGGTTGATGTAGATCTGCGACCTAACCTACTAGGAAACATCGTCGTGACGGGCGGCACGAGTTTGCTTAACGGATTCGGCGACCGTCTAAACAACGAGCTGATGGCCATGTACCCAGGCATGAAAATTAAGCTGCATGCCCCCGGTCTAACTACGGAGCGACGCTTTGGTGCGTGGATTGGAGGCAGCATTCTCGCAAGCTTAGGAACGTTCCACCAGATGTGGATTTCGCGCAAGGAGTACGAGGAGAACGGTGCGGGAATTGTTGAGAAGCGATGCAAGTAGTCGTCACAGGCCCCCGTTGCAAGTTCATGATAATAAAGGCGGATATCTAATCCGCTCAGGCGTCCGGAGTTCGTAGACAGCCAGGCAGGCAAGCGGGCTGGGGCTCCTTGTATTTTCTACAAGGACACAAAATTATAGGAAATAGCTTTCCATGAAGATCAAGTCAAAATAGATAATCATCTATGCTACTTTTGGTTCACTAGATAGATGCCCAAGTGATCCCGCGACGCCTCCCTGTCCGCCCTCTAACCCCCTTTTATTTTTATCCCTATTGCACGTATCACCATCCGTTCCATTTCGGCCAGACATCAATAACCTCGTCCTCGCGCCCTATATTCCTAGAATCCACGATTAAGTAGTAAGCATGTCCCGCACTCGCAATACACGAATGATTCGGCCAAATCCTTACGCGCTCGCCCACGCTCAGCGCAGCCTCATCCTCCTTCCGCCCAACCCATCGCAACACCCCGTGCTCCTGGCTAATCTTCGCGACCTGCCATCCTCCATGAACTTCGGGGAAATCTGCGCCCGGCACGGGTTGGGAGTTGGCTAGCACTCCCCACGGCATCACTAGCCCCCACGCCGAGTACCGCTTCCCATCCGGCTCCTGGCACGGCTCGCGGCCTAGCGCGATGCTACCTGCGTTTACTACGGCCTCGGTCGCGTTGTCCGGGCCGCGCGCGGGGTACACTGATGCTACGTCCGCGAGGATGCTGATCCCGATCATGCTGCTGTTGAGCAGGGAGAGGTCCCGCGCGTGCGCGGCTAGTTGTTGGACGTCGAGGGTGGGGTATACGCCGGCGTGGACTTCGAGCGCGAAGGAGGAGGCTTTGAGGGTTTTGAGGAGGGCTTTAAGGTGTTGGGTTGGGACGGTGGTTAGGATGTCTGCGCCGTTGGTGCCGTGGCCGTTGGAAGCACCGTCTGTAGACGCTAGGTCGGGGTGTTGGATGGTAGTTGCTGTGGGGGTTGCGCCGACGGAGAGAACTAGAGGGTCTTTGCCCGGTGCTCGCTTATCGCGGACAACTTCGGCTACCTGCTTTAGCGCCTCGAATTCAGCTCCCAAGATGCCCATAGCCTCCCAATCCTTGCGCGCGGCATACGAGTGTCCAGCGTGGCAGTATACGCCTAGTAAAACTGAGGATCCAGCTTCTTCCGAGGCGAGTAGCGCGTCGATTAGGGCGTTGCTTGCGGGGCTGCCGGGGATGACACCCGCGCGGTTGGTTCCTACGTTAACCTTGAGGAAGACTAGAGGGGCATTGCCGCCGGATTTGGAGGCCAGGGATGCTAGGAGAGGTACTTGGTCCACGTGGTCGATCATGACTGATAGGGCGCCGGCGCCGAGTTCCGCGGACACGCGGGCGAGCCGGTCGAGGCATGATGCGTAGAGGGGGAATGAGTAGAGGACCTGTGCGTGCGATAGGGGTTAGAAGACCCGAGGAATAGGAACGAATACAAGGGGGTGTCTGCTCACGTTAATCTTCCGCCCTTTGTCCCGGTACTCTTTTAGTAGTGGCACGAGCTTCTCCGCTTCGATAACCGTGGAGACTATCAGGTTTACGGGACCAGAGCTCTTGTCTCCTACTTGCAGTCTCGTGAGCTCCTCAGTCTAAGAGTAATTTGGTTAGCCCGGCGCCCTTTTCTTTGTGATAGGTATCTCCAACACTCCGAGATTAACAAGTCATACTTTATGGGTTTTGATATGCGCCCGCCAGCTGAGTTGTAGTCGCTCAGCAGCTTCGAGCATCACATTGCAGTTTGCCTCGATCTTGGCTAGATCCAATACGGCAGTTGGCGTGATAACCTCGCTGAGGCTCTTACCCACGAACTGGGCACGAAGGAGATCCTTGTTTACTTGTACCGCCGCCATTGTGATGGTTCCCTTGCTTTAATCTGTTCGGGCTTGCTTCCTATTAGTTACCTGACGCTAGTCGTCACATAGATCCCACGAACTCGGTATTGGGTTGGCTTTGGCAGATAACGGCTTGCTGATCTAATTGTTGTCAAAATTGTTCCCGGTAAGCTCGACATAGGTAGGGATAGTTACAATACCTACTCGGGTATTAGGTTCACTTATACTCGGTGCCTTACATCGTAGAGTTAGGACTAGGAATACGCCGAAGGGCGCTTGTCAGCTCGTGACCCACTGACCGCTAGATAAGTTCGGTATACTAACTTGGAGCTAGTTGGGCTGTCATGCACTACAACGAAACCACCTGCATCGTAAGTGCGGTTCACGATGTAACGACTCTTACATGAATGGGTTTGTACGTTGCGTCATGCTGGGTAGGCTATCAAGTTTAAACATGTTCGTGTGTAAAGTAGTTTAGACCAAGTGATCAATTACTGCAGACGATAACGTAGATGGTGTCTAAACTTTTGCTTTTTTTTCTCTCTTTCTTTTTCTCCCGTTACGCCATCGCCAAGATAATACACGTTTCTCTTACACAGCCATGATGGAAACTCCCTGCGTAGACGAAAATAGCCGAATAAAGAAATATACTACGTAGCCTAACTCGCGTTCCACCTGTTCGGGTCCAAGCATGTAAGTGTGGTAGTTGTACGCTTATCCGGGCTAAAACAACGAAGCTTTTTGGTGTCTCAATATCACTCGCTAGCGTGGCATTCGGATCCGCACATACTCACATAGAAATCATGGGGTTAAAATCCGATTGCGGAGCCGAGTAGTAATTAGAATCCGATTATTATGTTATAGATCGTCGTCTTAGGGTGTTGCTTATGATAAGAGGTACGCTATAGGTTAATATCTGTAAGACCTTGTTTACTTTGACTACTTAAGGAATATTATAGTTGCATAATAGTAGCCTCATGGATGACACTCGTTATAGCTTAACAGTTGATATCCTAGATAAGACTTTGTACACTACCTTATTCCGAGACTATTAGAATAACTGTTGTACGTAATCATATAGAAGCTAATCTAATCATAAGGGGTAAAATATTGAACTTGAATAATTATAGGAAAACTAAAACAAGAATCGAGCTAGTTATTCGAATCCTAGCACAACTTTCGCTAGAAACCCCAACGTAGTAATGGTATCTTAAATATTGCTGGGTTCTGCTAATACGTGGTTGATAGTGATTTGGTACCAGTGCTCTTCCGTTCACATGACTCCGGTAAGCTACAGCGAAGTCTGAATTTTTCATCGGTTAAGACTTTTATAAGCACATATGGAACGTCGTTATCGGTGTGCCTATCAAATCAAGTATCCCATGAAGGTCAGTGTTGTACTTGATGCAGGATTCCTAGAGGGTTGCGCGGCAACAAGTACGACGTCAGACTGCCATGTAAAGGACGTTTCTTTGTAGAAGGACTTTAGGATCTCAATACGATTTTGGTCTCGGGTGCTCCGCGAATACAAAGGTCATGCTGCGGGGTAATCATTGCAGCATACTTAGTGCGTAGGGAACTTGGACTTCGATAGAGGTCGGACAAAGGGAAGAAGTGAATAGGCTTATATCAAGCCCTAATGAAGTGAGTTTCAAGTTCCCGACTTGTATAATTACCTGGTAGTTATTTTATAAAGTGAAACTGTTAACTTCTAAACCTATAATGAGTGAGAAACAATAGAGACATCCGATATTATGAAGAGTAAAGAGAAAGCCTCTTCGAACAAGTCTGAATGTACTGGTGTTGTGATTGATATAAAGCCTTGCGGGAAACTCCATACCTCATACACAAAGGAGGCAGTTTTTTTTTATTAACTAGTAAATAAATCTTGGGTTTCACAACATTTGCTGAAAGCTTGACGGATAGGCACCTTAGGAATAGGCCAGCTGACTAAGTACATGTAAGTACCTACTTTAACTAGTGGACATTCGATACCTCATAGGTACCTAGGTACCACCAGGGCCACAACCGGCAGCCACGATTTACGTACCTACCATTTAGCCACATAATCGATCCATAACTTTTGTTTCTTTCCTTCCAAGTGCCAAGCTTTTGGTTTTTCACTCCCCAGGATTCAACTTCTTCCACACCTCGCCTTATGTACATTTCTTGATGTGTATGCTCAACTATTCGTAGCATTGAAGGTGCATTCAATGTACTACGTGTGTTGAATCCAAAAGACACATAACTACATGTACCAGAAATTATTTGATTTCTAATTTTTAGTCGTCTTTTTCTAGTCTCCTTATTGTTAAGAAATCCTCATCTGAAATCTCGACATGTACCAAACTGTCTCCTAGAGCAACCCTAGGGTATGTGTATATGATTTACCTGGTACGTATGGTTTACCTAATCTTGGTTAAGGCTTCCCCCGCGGTCTAGGAGGACGTACCTTGGTACCACTTTAACGCGACTTCCCAATTTCAAGCCGCTACCACTCAACTCATCGACTATCTACGAATCAATCTCAATTTCTTATCCCAAACAGTCTATTTTTTTCTGATCTCATCCAGCGCGTGGTTTGCTTGCTAGCCTCGCGCCTCTGTGATTCTACATTTCGGATGAAGTTCATACGCGTGACGTCCGTATTATCCTGACATGAAGTAGCCTAGCACATTACCATCCTTCCGTTTGCGAACGTCCCCGACAACGTCGACAAGTCCTCTTACGACGCTAGAATCGCGCGAGATACCATGGACGGTTTAACGCCGAGTTCCCCGGCCTCGGGCCCGGTTCGTGTAGATGGGGTCACCATTAAGGAGGAGGAGCCCGATCACGACCAGGTAAATGGACAATCATTCAAGACTATCGATTGGGCTGCACAGGAACAGCAGGATGAAGATGATATCAACAAAATATTTTCGAACGAGGGAAGGGTTGCCATGCCGGAAAACCTCGAACTATTCGGCGACAAAGTAATCGATCAGACGGACAAGGCAGTAGACGCCATCGATTTCGAAGACATCAGCGATAGTGACCTAGCTTCGGATGACGGTTCTAGTGCTGTTGGTGCGGGCATCTCGCAAGTTCCTGGTCTTACTGAAGATGAAGGCACGAGCCATGAGAACGAATATATGGATGACCTCTTTGGAGGCGGCCCCGAAGGCGAACCCGATTTTCCATCTTCACCACCTGCAGCCGACGCGGCAGCGGAGCAACCCTCGGGCGGCTTAACTATGCCAACCAAGGCTGCACTAGTGAAAGAACGCGACGTTACGGATGAGGCTTGGAAGAACATGTCATTTGAGGAGAGGCAGAGACTCAATTTCCCCCAGTATAACCTGTCCATAGATAAGTGGATGAACCAGGTCAGCAAAGAGGACACCACAGTTCAGAAGGTTCCTGAGAACGTAGACGAGCTCTTGGCGCAGAAATTTCCAGGTTTTGCAAAACATAAGACTCTTTTCTTCAACCAGCTATTCCCAGAATGGCCCGCGGAATACATATACAAGGAACCCCCGAATAAAGACCGGGATCCTCCCGAGTTTGTGCCTACCAAGCTCGAGCTGGAACTGGAAGCCGATTCCTCAAAACTATTTAGGATCCCGGAGAGTGCTCTGGCCGCTCAGAGAGGCGGTTACAATGACGAAGACGACCGGGGCTTGGACGCCACGGACAGCTACTCGGACACCTCGAACTCAGAACAGTCACTTATTGGGGGCTTCAGCTTAGACGAGATTGCCACAGTATGCGACGACTGGAGCTCGTTCACGCATGCCGACTCATCTATTCAGAAGGGTACCGCTGCTGTCGATAATGATGACGAAATGGATGATTGGGAGAGAGAATTCTTGCAACCACAAGCTACGAAAAAGCGACGTAGATACGAACCTGGTCTCCCGAAGATATCATCGTATGATACTCGCCATATTGACGACTTCTTCGGAGAGACGCGGCGAGCTAGCAAACACGTTAGACTAGACTATGATGACCCCTACCTTTTGATCGATAAAGATGGGGGGAAGGAGCGGCCATCTAAACGCCCGAAGGTCGAGGAGAAAACTAAGCGAATGGCTAACGGCCAGCTGAGAAGAGATGTAATGCATCACTTTAACCTCTCTAACGACGACGCGTACGAGGCGCTTAAGGCGAATCACAAGAGCAAAGTCAGAGCTACTCTTTCTAACCTTTCTGTCGAGCACAGCTTGCCGGCGCTCAAGCTAACCTTCCCCTTCTACCGAACCAAGGTTGACGTCAAGCCTTGGGAGCATCACCGCAAGAGGTTTGAGCTAGACAAGATCGTGAAGCATGCTATTGGCGTACGCAAAGCTACGAAGGTTAGGCGAAAGGATACGAAAGGGAAGACTAACCAGGAGATCTTCCGTAATACTAAAGATCTCAGCTTAAACGACAACTCTACAGCTGTTCTCTTCGAATACTGCGAGCAATTCCCCATCATGATGTCCAACTTTGGCATGGGTAGCCGCGTGATCAACTATTACCGCCGCAAAGATCGAAATGACGAGGATAAGCTCCCGAAACTCGACATCGGTGAAGGTCACCTGCTGCTACCAGAGGATAGATCGCCCTTCTCTATATTCGGTACTGTGGACCCGGGCGAGACGGTCCCCACGTTGCATAACGAGATGTATCGGGCGCCGATCTTCAGACATGAGCCTAGACCAAATGATTTCATTCTCGGATATTCAACAAACGCTACCGAAGGTCCGAAGTTCTATCTTCGCAAAATTGATCATGTTTATACAGTTGGGCAGACGTTCCCTTCGTTGGAAGTGCCCGGTCCCCATGCCAGGAAGGTCACGAATACGTCGAAGAACCGTCTCAAGATGATCGCATATCGCATGATGAAGAAGAAGGAAACGCAGGATGTGGGCCTCAACGAGATCACGCCTCACGTATTCGAGAAGCCAGACCCTCAAAACAGACAGAAGATGAAGGAATTTCTTCTGTATGATAGAGAGAGGAAGACATGGGTTTTGCCGGAAGGGCAAACGCTCATGGACGAAGCCGCCATACGATCCATGATCAAGCCGGAAGATGCCTGCCTGATCGAAGCCATGCAAATCGGCCAGGAGGCGTTAGCAAATGCCGGCTACGATCCTAAGGACAGGGAAGAGGAGGATGAAAACGTGGAAGAACCATTAATAGCTAGGATGGCACCGTGGGAACTTACCAAGAATTTCATCGATGCCAGCGCGGGCAAGGCTATGGTGGCCCTCCACGGCGAAGGCGATCCTACCGGCCACGGCCTTGGGTTCAGTTTTATAAAGACCTCCATGAAGGGCGGTTATATAAATGCTGTCCAGGGCCCCCTGGCTACTTCGGCGGATGCGATTGAACGCGAACGTAAGGCGAACGGCGGCCATTCGTACAACGTCAAGAAGCAGCAGGACATGTATAACGCGGCCATTCATCAGATCTGGGAGAGACAGAAGAGCACACTTAGTGACCCTACTACGCATGACGACGCAGACGTTCTCGATACAGCTAATGAGGAT